GAACATGTTTGGTGAGACCGGGATTCGAACCCGCGACCTGCAGATTACTAGTCTAGCGCCCTAACCACCTGGCCATGCCTGGCCCCAATCTAGAAGAAAAATTATTTTGGGGAAGTCTACACTCGTTGAATTTTATAACTGCTCTTTGTGTATTTCTCAGTTGGAAGTAAAGCTAATGCAAAATATTATTTAAAATATTTATATCTTTTTTACATTATTGTTAATATATGGTTGATATAAACAACGAAACTATTCAATTGTATATATTAGGTATTAGAAAAATTTGATGTAGTAGAATATCGATCAGTAAACTGTGCTAAAGGTTCGAATTATTTATTAATTTGGTATTCATTGGTTGTTTTAAGTCTAAAAATATAATTTGATTTTGCTTAATAAAAATAATTTCCAGTTAATTTCATGTCTGATTTCTCTAAGTTATTATATATATATATATTAATTAAAATATTTTCAATCAATGATTCGTTGCTGTAAAATAGTATTTGAATTTTTTGGGTAATTTTTGAGGCCTCAAATTCATTTATCATAAATGAAATTCAGAATTTCAATTTTTTTCTAATTACTAAAATAATAATATCTATTGTGAAGTTTTAAAGTTTTTACGAATTGTTCATATACCTAACGAATTGATTCTCATTATTTTGATTTGACTACTTTAAACTTCCTATATATAGGTTAAAAGTGTCTAATATAACTTGACCTTAGGATATTCAGAGAAATAATAATTTCTAATTCTGTTTGCTAATTATTTCAAGGTATTGATGATATATTTATGTACTAATGTTAGTATGCATTGTTCCCACAGTTTATCTTTTTTCTTATAAACTTCCTTGTGCAATTAATTTTTCTGAAAAGAGCTATACAAATGTTTGTTTGTAATTAAGCACAAAGCTATACAATGGGCTATCTGTGCTCTGCCCACCATGGGTATCGAAACTCGGATTCTAGTGTTGTAAGTCCGCAGACATACTGCTGTGCCACTGGGGGGCGCTATACAAATGAGGTACAAACCTAAACCACTTTGATAATTCCTATAGCAGATTATTTAGTTCTACAGTTTCGCCACTAGAAGATACCTTTGTAAACTAAACTAATCTATTTCTTTAAGCTATTTCTGCTTATGAAATATACAATCTCTATTTTACATTCTATCTTGAAACGTTTAAAGATTTTAAATATTTTTGTAAAAAACTATACTTTATATTTCAATTCCAATATTGTTAAATAGTGGTATAAGTTCATTATTTTCTTCACGTATATCTCATTGTCTGTTTTTGAAAAACTAAGAATATGTCGATAAGATTTTCCTTAAACAAGTCATCATTTAATATTGATAATCTGAAGTTATTTGCTTC